GATCCTTCTTTTCCAGTTGGCGCTTCTTAGTTGGTATACCGGGTTGCTTCTACAACGATGCATGGACGGGAATCCGCGGATCAAGAGTTATCCCGATATTGGAGAAGTTGCTTATGGACAGAAAGGAAGACTCACCATCTCCATTTTTATGTACCTTGAGCTGTATTTGGTAGCTGTTGAGTTTCTAATACTAGAAGGTGACAACTTAAACCAGTTGTTCCCAAACATGGGGTTCAACATGGCAGGCTTCAAAGTTGGAGGCAAACAATGCTTTGTTTTGCTCACTGCCCTTGTGATTCTGCCAACTACATGGCTGAAGAATCTGGGATTGTTGGCGTATGTTTCTGCGGGAGGGGTTTTCGCTTCTCTTCTTTTGGTTGCTTTCGTGTTTTGGGTTGGCGCGGTTGATGGTGTAGGGTTTCATGAAGGAGATGTTCTTCTGAATTTCAAAGGATTGCCTACTGCTGTGAGCTTGTACCTGTTTTGCTATTGTGGCCATGCAGTTTTCCCCACATTGTGCAATTCCATGAAAGATAGAAGCAAATTCTCCAAGGTCAGTAATTTCAAAGTGCGGTTAAAATTCAGGGAAACACGCGCACATAAAACGGTGACAATTCTTTTAAGGAAAAAAAAAAAACTGAGCTAGAGGAACACTTATAGGGCTCGTTTGAATGTGCTTTTAAAATGCTTGAAAGCGCTTTTAGAGAAAATGTTTGTGGGTTCCAAAAGCACTTGAAGTGCTTTGCTTCTTCCAGGAAGCACCAGCTATGTGCTTCTTCCAGGAAGCACTTTAAGTGTTTTTTTTTTCTTCAGAATTTACTTGTATTTTTACTATGGAGTTTTAACAAACACTCCTGGTACTATTCACTTTTAACAAAAATGACATTTTTACTATAAAAAGTCACTCCTAGTACTATTCACTTACAATACATTTTTGTCATTTTGATTAAAACTCAAAGTTTTCAAGCTATTTTCATTAGTTTTTTTTTTTTTTTTTTTTTACTAATAATTGGTTCTCAAAATATTTTCACCAAAAACACTTTCAATCATTTTAAAAGTACATCCAAACGAGCTCAGTTGGTATCTAACTAGAGTAACACTTAAGCGGACTTTAAAGAGGCATTAAATCGTGATTCACGTACACTTATTATGTGTTTAGTCTCTTTCAATTTCATTTTTGATTAAAAATTTGTAACGGATTCTTGTGTGCAATTTTCCTGAAATCTTTTGCACTGATCTGACCATGTAAATTCCCACCACCCCCCCCACCACCATTGCAGGTGTTACTTTTCTGCTTCGTTGTAAGCACCATCACCTACGGATCAATGGCGGTTTTGGGTTACTTGATGTTCGGACAAGACTTGAAGTCTCAAGTCACATTAAATCTTCCAATACGAAAAATTAGTTCAAGGATAGCAATTTACATTACTATAATTAATCCCCTAACAAAGTATGCAATTATAATCACTCCAATTGCTGCTGCTATTGAGGATACACGCCCTTTTCGCAACAGCCGTACTATTAGCATCTTCGTGCGAACCTTAATTGTAATTAGCACCGTAATTGTGGCATTAGCCATTCCTTTTTTTAGCTACCTAATGGCTTTAGTCGGCGCATCTTTGAGCGTGACGGTCTCAGTCTTGCTGCCGTGCTTGTTCTACCTTAAGATTAACGTTGCTGCTCGGAGATTCGGGTTCGAGTTGGTGGTAATTGTTGGGATTATGGTTATAGGGTCGTTTGTTGGCGTAGTGGGTACGTACACTTCTGTGATACAAATTGTAAGACAATTGTGAAATCATATATTGGAGCATTTTAATTAGTAACTCTGATAAACTTCTGCAACAAGTAGAATTTTCACCACATGATTATTTTCCCATTTTCTGCAATTATGCAGAAGCACTTTCTTGTTTTTTCTTTTTGGGCCAGTATGGAAGCACTTTGGACGATGAATTATCGTTCATGACGTTCAGTCAAATCCGGATCTGGGCTTTTAACTTTTTACACTGCTTTCCTAATAATAATTTACTGCATTCCCTGTAAAGTACACTGCTTTTCTAATAATTTACTGCTTTTTTCCGCTCATTATTCACTGAGTCGGCCTTCTTTAAAACAGAAGGATAAAAAAAAAAGTCAAAATCAATGCTTACGTAATATACTATAATTGATAATTTTTTTAATGTTACGATCACAAATTTATAATAATCAAAAGAAATATTAATGCACCATCTTTTTATCAGAATCATTAGTTTGGAATCTTTGGACGTGTCCAAAAGCAACTTGACCAGTGTCGGGTTCATAGACAAATTAACAAACCTCATACACAAAAACAAACAACCAAAAGATCGTGTTTTCCTTTCGTTCCTCATTTTTGCTTTGAGATCCTGACGCATTCCGAAGTTCTTTAGGGAAGCACTTTGGAGGCAGCATAGTACCTCTATAATCTGAACACCGTCCAATATCTCCCAAATCCGGAGACTCGAGACCAGCCTATGCTAATTGCGCTTCTAATATACTAACAGGTGTCAAACATAAATTCAGTAACTCTTGTGGATCGTATTACTATTAGTAGTTTGAACACCATAAGAAAGTCGAAGAAGGGAATGGCCTATCACCAAATCTCATGTTTTATTCTCCTTCCTCGGTTTCGTTATATCATACCAAATGTCGTTCCTCTAATATTTTCCTTAAAAAATTAAGAAGAAAGTCGAAAAAAAATGAAAAATCCTGGACAAACAGTTAAGGCTTGGGCTGCGTATAATAGTACTAATTAACATGAAAATTTGGGGTTTGTGAACAAAATACTTATCCTAATGCTCTCTTCAAATTGTTGACGTTTGTTTGTGCGGCTATCTACTCATCCTCACCATCCATCCCCCTCTAATGATAAATTCAATTATGTCTGGCAGAGAAAATGGAGAGCCAAAACCTACCCTCACAGGAACCAACCGAAGGTGCAGCCATGCAGGTACCACATTTTTCAGAACCTGTTTCAATGATCTCAACGCACTATCAGGTCAATTCCTCTCTTTTTCCTCTCTGTCATGCCACATTAATGTACGTGGTTCACCCTAAATTTGAATATATCTATGGAGTAGATGAGTTCTCATTCATAGTGAAGGGTTTACACAAATACATAGGTTGAAGCATAATCATCATTAGTGGGTTCTAATGACTAGTTTAATACAATAATGACATTCGTCCTTAATTGTAGGAGAATGGTATTCTTTTATAGTTGAAAAGAGTCTCCAACTTTCGTCTGCGGTCGATGTGAGACTCTAGAAGCTTTATTCTAACGTTGACACGTGTCGTGATGTGATTGGCCTCTGGGTGGAGGAAAAATCTTGTGTTTCGGCAAGGGTATCTCAGCATGAATCCCTCTGTGGATCCTTGAAGGTATAAAGTTGACAGGTGCTTGATAGTTTCAGGATTGGTCAAGTATATGGTACAAACAAGCTATATTTGGTAGCTGTGGAGTTTCTGATATTAGGAAGTAGCAACTTAAACCAGTTGTTCCCATTAGTTATGATTAACTATGCTCTTTCGGAATTATGACGAGAGCATCGCTGTTGATCTTAAAGTACAAACAATCATGTTAGTATGGTTGCAATGACGACACTTCAACATGCACCCAAGAAGGCCCTTTAAAAGTGTCATCATTGCAATCTTAGTACCATTTCTTTTTTGAACAAACAATATTCTACACTAAATCATGGACATTCGAACTTAGAAGCATAGGGAAAAGCACACGGCTCTAATAAACTTACAATTCTGATTTCTTTTGCAGGTCATATTTATGTACACAATTATCAGTTTGTCTTTAAAAATTTAACATGAACCATTGAATGCATCGAAATCAAACACGGTGACACCGAAAAATCCCAGAAGGCACTGAGAGAAAGAGAGAGATGAATCGGCAATGTTCCTAAACCATTACAATGTAAAAGTTCTTGTCCATCAGAATTTTCCTCTCGTTTTTGGATAATGCGATACCCTAAACTACTGCAATTGTGAAGTGGGAATCCAACCAGATTAATTATCTTAACATATATATAACTCTGCCAAAATGCAGATAACCCAACTCATGTTACCCAAATTAACACTCGTAGAGATAACTATTCCACATTAGATACAACTCATGATTCTTTAAACAATCACCCATGTGTACAAATATTCCATACACGGTAATGGTATATGACTTTTAAATTGGACAGAGACATCAGTTCTCTCCATTTGTCTTCACACTTGGAAGTTTGGAACTATTTGATTTATAGTTGAAAAGAATATTGGGGGATTTAAGAGATCTTACATGTGTTTATAAGCAGTTTGACTTTTTCTTATATAGCCAATTATTTTTATTGTGGAATTCGTTTTTCTTCATGATATTAGAGCTAGCCCCCACACGTGAGATGACGTGTTAAGAACGTAAATATCAAAATTGATAAAATAAGAGACCTTATATGTTCTTATAAGAAGTTTGGCACAATATTGTAAGAATTTTTTTTCCTTTTGAGTTCACATATAAACTCAAAGTGGTCTTAGTTTGACCTAAGAATCTTCTAAGACATAATAAACTTAAGAATGTGATCCATGCACAAAAATATGTATTAAATTATAACATTTTTATGGGCTTCGTAACTGAGTTCCCAATCATGCTCTCCATCCACTTTTTAAGTTAGAGATTAAACTAGATAGGGAGAAAGGAGTTTAATGGGTAATGCTAGAGAGATTATCTATTTAAATTATATTTTGTAAATCATTTAATGTTGTTGTTGATGATTGAGTTATTATTGAAGTGTTGATTAACGTGCTTATTTTTTATTGGTGACATATTACATAATTTGCAAAATTGGTCTAAAAATCGTCTACCTAGCATTATCTTTGTATTTAAATCTCTGTACACATTGTTTTACTTTGTCTTTAAATAGCAAGCCATGATACAATACTGAACACATTGAACAATACTATTCTTGAACTAGAAAAATCAGGGAAGGAACAGAGAGATGGATTCGAAATTCGACCGTTCGATGTTCATCAGGCTCTTCATAATACAGTGTCTAGCACTTGTTTCTGTTTCTCAGAGTTTTGATTTTTTCTATTTTGTACAGCAGGTGAATATTTCCACTTCTTTTATTTTTTCATTAATTTACAGTTGTGAAGACTGAAATTTGATATATGTTGCAATGCAGTGGCCGGGATCTTACTGTGACACCGAGGCAAGTTGTTGCTATCCAACGACAGGAAAACCTGCACGAGAATTCGGCATCCATGGGCTTTGGCCTAATTACAATGACGGTTCTTATCCATCCAACTGTGATTCTGACAACCCTTATGATGAATCGAAGGTAGTAATAATTAGAACTAGGGTTTCATGGGGTGGATATCCTATCCTAGTCAACCAACCTAACCCACATATGCGCAGCTCGTTCTAACTAAGTAGTTATAAATGATCTATGCAGATCTCGGACCTGATAAGCAGACTGCAAGCAGATTGGCCTACACTGGCATGCCCCAGCGGGAATGGCTCAAAGTTTTGGGCACATGAGTGGAATAAACATGGGACATGCTCCGAGTCCGTGCTTGACCAACATGGCTACTTTGAGGCCTCTCTCAACCTCAAGGAAAACTTAGACATCTTCCAAATCCTTCAAAATGCTGGTAATTTTTATTAATTACTATTCTATGGTTCTTTTTTCCTAAGCTATATATTGACTATTTTTGGGAGGTAAAATTTTAAATTAATGAACCGTTATTACTGCAGGAATCCAAGCAGATGGGAATATGTACAGCTTGAGCAGCATAAAAGAAGCTATAAAATCAGCAATTAGGTACACTCCTGGTATAACATGTAACGAAGATGCATCCGGGAATAGCCAGCTTTATGAGGTTTATATTTGTGTGGACACATCTGGCTCAAAGCTTATTGAATGTCCAGTGCTCCCCGGGACGAAATGCTCCTCCAAAATTGAGTTCCCTTCCTTCTAGCTACCTTAATATGATGAGATTTTCTAGTATCCTCCAGACCAAGCTTTGAAGGCCAAAAATCCAAGTGTATTAGATACATCGGAGCGTAGTAGAATTTCCGTTATTTCAGCTCTCTTGTTGGACATTGGGCTCTCTCACTTCTTAATAAGTAGCTAGCAAAGTGCCTCATGAGTTTTCTAGCTGCAACAAATAAGTGTACTCTTCTCGTGTATCCATCAATGAAATTTGTTTTGTTAATTTCTGTAGTTTTCAGTTTCTCCAATCCCAATTGCTCACCGTTTCATATTGGTGGCTTTAGCACCCGATGACTTCTAATCCTATAAACAATCAACAAATATGCATGAAAGTATTCCTCGAAGTGTAATGGTTAATTTGGTTATTCACGGTGTCGACATATGACTTCTAATCTGGACAACGAGACAGAATACTTCTCCAATTTGTCTCCACTCTTGGCACTATTTGATTTGTGTTGGTTGAAAACGAAATCATGTACAAAAGTGTGCTCAAATTTGTGGCCCCAATGAAACCTCAATTTAGAGGTCAAATATTGTCCTCATTTAACTTTTAGTTTAGTGATTGTTATTTTATTTGGTTAAAATAAGTCTTCAGGTTTGACTCAATACATACATACATACATACATATATATATGTATATTTGTGACGTTAAGAAAAAAGTATTATTTTAGATACATTGTTTCAAGGAAGTTTTAACAAAACACTCTCGGTACTATTCACTTTAACAGAAAATCATATTTTTACTCTAAAAAGTCAATTCTGATATAATTCACTTACAACACATTTTCGTTAAAACTCAAAATTTTCAATCATTTTTCATTAGTTTTTCTTTGTTTCTATTCTAGATACAGTGTACTCGTACATTAGAAGTGGACAGACTCATAACTAATTAAGAGATGAGGTTAATATGACTATCCTAGAATCGGCACACTGTATGTAGAATAATACTTTGTTCTAAACATGTGATGAGATTAATATGGCTAACACACTTAGAGTTGGTCTTATTCGGTTCTCCCTTGTGCCGCATATTGGCTAGTCGGACAACGTAGTTTTGTTCTGGATGTGTTGATGCAATGTAAAAGGCATCATCGTATCGGTGCCAGAATGGAGCTGAGAGAATATCCTTTCCAATGTGAAGGGATTGTATGGAAATCACGGCACGCTATTTCAATATTTTGGCAATCTTATTGGTGATCATTTATAAATGCATGCATGTTACAACCACATGATTTATATTTTCTTGTTTAATTCAATTAAAAAAAATCAAGTGTGAAAGCTTTTACTTCCTCAACATAACTTGGAAGGCTATTCAAAATTTCCATCAAATAATTGGTGCAAGTATTTATATATAGAGCTGCTTACAATATTTCAAATAATTCTTTTATTAATCGAGGTCGCAAAAAGTCACAAATATGGCCAACAGTGTGTCATACTGTTTGGGCCCAAAATATTGGGATTGGGCCGAGCAGCAAGACGGGCTCGGCCCAAGGTAATGACATGCGATGGGCCAAATAATGAAACCCGGACCAGCTGGCAGGGTCGTCGAGATCCTATCTTAAAAGTAGTCCAGATAAGTGAGGAAAGGTCGAGGAAATCCTGGTGCAATCAGGATTCTCGACCAGCAAGGGATAAAGCCTCAAAAGGAGGAGAATTCAGAATCCCAGTAGGACTAGGGTTGAAGGTGAAATGGGATAAGGACTCCCAATCCAGATCAGAATGGGATTCAAGGAGCGAGGTGCTATAAATACAAGAAATTACGCAATGGAAAGGGACTCCACAATCAGCATACAATTGCCCTGCGCAAATAATCTCAAACACCTTGAGATTTTTCCTTTTCTTTTCCCGCCGACACACCTTCAGTTTGGATAAACAGCACTGTGGAAGCAACCGGTGAGCATCTTCAGTTTGGATAAACAGCACTGCTGCCGCAGAATCAGCCGACCAAGACCCACCTTCAGTTTGGATAAACAGCACTGCGTCGAGGTCGACCGATTATCTATCTAAGTCTCGGCCGAGAAAGGTTTTCGAACCTTTGTTGGTAGAGGTCATCTTACTAAGCCGTCTCGGCATAGTTGGGTGTTACGAATTGCCTTGCTCGGCGCATTGGAGGCCGAGTGAGTTTATGATTGGATACTCACAAGTAAGTTTCAGGGTTCGGCATTCCGACGGCCGAACTACGTTTACCATCAAGACATATATCACATTCGAGTACCTGTGCCCGTATAGTTTGGTCTCAATTCGGCGTGCTTATACTCTTACGAATATAATCACAGTGGCTGAATCGGGCTTCGACGAGTTGTGAACTCCGTAGAATTAGTAGCCTTGTCTTCAGGCTATAGAATCCAGAGACCGAGAGCGTTCCTTCCTCGGTCGCAATCGCAAGATACAGAAGTCAACAGCGCGCTCAATACGACCGCATCAAATTTTACTCCTCGGCCGAGCTCGGCCGACGAGTTGGCACGCCCTGCATTCAACCGAAGGACATTAGTTAGCTCATTAGTTATTCGGCCTGCGCGCCACGTAGGTTCTGTAATTTTTGTAGTCAACATTTTGGCACGCCCAGTGGGACAATTGTGCTAAACCTTCGGAGTTCATGACCGTAGAAACACGGTCTACCAAGAAGAAAGCAAACATGGGAAAGTCAACAGTTGACTTACCAGTGCAAGGCCTTGGGCAGGATTCGCACCCAGCAAAAAATCCGGTCATTGCTTTGCCACCCGAGGCTACAAGTGTGACCCGCCGAGAGAATGAGATCTGTCTCGGTGGGCAACCTCACAACGCGGCTATCCCGAATCAAACGACGCCCATATTCGTGGAGGGGATAGTGGAAGACTGCGACGACGATGGTGGAGAAGGCTCTGATCCACCAACTAGGTCGTTTCTTCGGAGACGACTCGATGAGCAGTATCGACAGGTCGAGCAGTCGATTGGTCAAAAGATGAATGATTTGCTAGAGGCAATACGAAGTAACAACGATACACAGACCAGAATGCTTGAAATATTAGTTAGTAAAGCCTTCGAAGATGGCCAGGTCGGCCAACCTCGACAGCTCTCGACGAACGTGCCCATACCAGCCGATAGAGCGTCCGCTCGACCGCAACCAGTCACCTTAGAAAGAGGATCAGGACATAGATCCGAGGGACCAAGCCAGGGAGAAGAAGCCGCCTCCGTGAACATGACCGAAGTCCAGAGAATGATTGATTCGGCCTTGAAGAAAGGGCCGAAGTTTCCAAAATTCATTCATCCTTACCCGGCTTACGTAGAAAGGTTTGAATACCCACGGGGATTTAAGATCCCTGATTTCAGCCTCTTCGCCGGGGAGTCGTCTTTGTCCTCATTAGAACATGTGGCCCGGTTCACGGCGCAGTGTGGAGACGTTAATAGCGATTTCTACAAACTACGTCTGTTTAACTTTTCATTGACAGGCTCCGCCTTCGCCTGGTACATTAATCTTCCACCCAATTCTGTGCAGAGTTGGGAGGAGTTGGTCGAAAAATTCCATGAACAATTCTATCGGCCTGGGATGGAGATGTCAGTGTCATCCTTGGCCAGGATGGCTCAAGCATCCGACGAATCTCCAATGGAGTACTTAACAAGGTTCAAGTCGGCCAGGAATTGGTGCCGAGTACCACTCCCCGAAGTGGAATTCGTCAGGATTGCTCTCAACGGATTAGACGTGGAGTACAAAAAGAAGTTCCTGGGGGCAAACATTCGCGATATGTACGAACTTGCTCAACATGTCGAACAGTATGATTACCTGCTCCGAGAAGAGAAGGTCTCAAAATCACCATCCCGGGGAACGTTGTATAAAAACCCCACGGTCAGCTATGCATCGGCCGAAAGCGGGGACCCTCAGTACGTCAGTGTGGATGCGGCCGAGATAGTAATAGATAAACCGTACGTCTGCAAGGCTCTGGCTCAAGCACACGGCAAAGACACCAAAGCCCATTCGGCCGCCGAGGACATAAGTAAATCTTCAAAAGTATACACTTTCGACATCACCAAGGCCGATGCAATTTTCGATCAATTATTGGCGGCAAAGATCATCAAGCTTCGGCCGGGACATATTATCCCTAAGGCCGATGAATTGAAAGGAAAGATATACTGCAAGTACCATAATTCTAATAAGCATGCAACGAATAATTGTGTCGTGTTCCGGGATACAATCCAAAGTTGGATCGAAAAAGGAAAATTGAAATTCCCGGAAAAGCAGATGGCGGTCGACGTCAATCCCTTCCCTTCAACAACAATTGGTATGGTGGATGCTCATCTTCCTAAAAACAAAGGGAAGGCCGAATACATTCCGGTGCAGCATATCCGTAAACAGAATGGTCGAACAAGGCTGAAGCTTGATATATTTTCGAATGCACCACCCACGGAACAATCGAGGCCCCTCGCCGATGAGCCTATGATGGGGTCGAGTCCCGACGAAACTCATGAGTCAAGGGTTTTATGTGACCATTGTAAAACACCGATTGAACCTGGGAAGAAGACATTTTCAACAACACCCACGGCCCTTACCACAGCACCAAAGGAAGTTGGTCCGCGACGTCAAGTGTTCGATCGACTCGGCTTACAAGTACGGCCGAAAGACCAGGCCTCAGTCAGGCGGCGCCTTGATTTCGACGCGCCTTTCTATAATGAGGATTACTACTCGCACAATACTAACAGTTCCAGCTCGTCAGCCGATCGCAAAACCTTCAAACCACCCCGAACATCGGATCAACGCTGGTACAGTTACAACTCCCCGACTGGTTTATATACAGCACTGTCTAAATCCCAAAAACGTCGCCGTCAACGGATTGATTGCATGGCTCGGCGACGAGGAGCACAGGCCAGCACTGCCAACCAGTGGCAACCAAAGAAGGCCGCGGAAAGCATCAGTGAACGGCCCACCCCGACTATCATGACCGAATTGGCCGAAGGGAAGCAAGTAGCTGCTGCCGGTTTTGAAACCACCATTGAGGATGCTGAGAAACGTATCA